TACTGCAGTAAGTCAGCCCTGGTTTCAGTTTTGGGGAGAGTAAGAGGGAGAAAAGTTTTTAAAATAATAGTTATTGTTTCTTGGGCACTTAGAACGCATCAGGTACTCGACAGTGCTTTTCGTGTTCTCTCAGTTCATCCTCACAGCAAACCTATGAGGTTAAAAGTGTTATCTGATTTTACAGAGAAAAAAACAACTAGTGAGGTGGAGTGCCTTTCCTAAGGTGATGAATTGCAGAGGCAGGGTTTAGGCTTGGATTTGTGCCCTGGCTCCCTTGAAGCAGGGCGAGCTCTTCCTATCCTCCTCCCACCTCTAGATGGGTGCTCTTGGCACACAGAAACTCAGCAGAATGGCCTCTACCTGCACCAGTAATAATGAGGAATGCGCTATGCTCAGCTTTTGGAGCAAGTTCACTCCACTCGCTCATGTGCTGAACCTCACATTTGATTGCTTTATACAACAACCCTGTGACGAGGGTATTAATTGCCCATTTCACAGACAGAGAACTGAGGTTCAGGGAGGTTGGCGTCCCAAGGTCCTATAGGGCATGCTCTGGAATATGACAGAGGCTGCTCCTAAGGCTCCACTCCCTGTGCCTCTCCACTCCCAAGCTCCTCCCTCTGCCAGTCATCACCGCCCCCGCCCATCCCTCCCCTACTGGCACCCTCCCTGCCCACTGTCTTGGCCAGGGCAACTGTAGGCATAAGCCTGGGTAAAATGAGCTGAGAGGAACCTCTTGGATTGGGCTCCTGCCCAGAGTGGTGGCCAGGAGGTCACTGCTCACCTAGGATGGGATTTGATCAGCTTACAACTTTTCTGATTCCAATTTTGTGGCAATTTAGAAAGAAGGTCTTCCTGGGAAGCCTGACAGGCTCAGCAGTTGAGCGGCTGCCTTCGGCTCAGGGTGTGATCCCCAGGTTCAAGGATCGAGTCCCACATTGGGATCCCTGCATGGAGTCTGCTTCTCCCTCGGCCTGTGTCTCTGCCTCTGTCTCTAATGAAAAAATAAATAAAAATCTTTAAAAAAAAAAAAAGAGGGTCTTCTTGAATTCTCTACTGAGGGCTCACCTTTTCTTGGTTTATTTTTTTTTGTTTGTTTTTTTAGATTTTATTTATTTACTTATTTGAGAGAGAGAGAGAGAGAGCGCATGAGCAGAGAGGAGGGGCAGAGGGAGAGGGAGAAGCAGACTCTCCACTGAGCAGAGAGCCTGACAAGGTGAGGCTGGATCCCAGAACCCTGGGAGCTGAAGGCACATGCTTAACAGACTGAGCCACTCAGGCGCCCACCTTGGTTTAGTTCTTACCTTAGGGGTTTCAGCAGGAAAAAGTGAACACAAACCATCAGCCAGAAGAGGGATTAATGAAGGAACTATTCGCAGAGGTGTGGGCAGGAATGGTGAAACATCTTGGGGCTCACAGCACTGGGGTGGAATTGTCCCCGGGGATCTGAAGGGCAAGGGGAGGAAACTTTGTTAATGAACCTGGTGAGAGTGGTATCTGTGGGTGCAGCCTGCCCCACAAGAGTTGTGTGGCTTTTGGTGGAGGAACACAGTAACTGCCAAAATCACAGGGGGAGGTGGGTAGTAGAAATATCTCAGCCTAACTATCCTCCTTTGCACTGATCTCCTGTAATGTCTCCTATTGGCCAACCTCTTCTGAAACTATAAGGTGAGACAGCGAGAACGAGTCAGCCTCAGGACCTGCAGCCAAGTAGAGAAGCATGGAGGGTGGAGGTCAGGCAAAGAGCAGCCAGCCCAAGGCCTTCTTCCTGGACTTGGCTTTGTGGAGAGGCCGAGAGACAGAGTAGCTATGCTTTTCTTGTACCGGACACAGGCACCCTCTCTCCTTCCAGACCCAGGTTGCTCTGTCTGTGAGGTTGTCCCAGTCCTGGAGTTCATCCCTCCCACCCCTGACCTCCCCGGTTCTCACTGCCTGCCACATCACTCATCTCCCTGACTTAACACTATTCTCTGCATGGGTTTGTCTCCCTAGACAAGAGTGCTTCCATCCTCTACATTGTGAGATCTTTGCAGGCAGGGGCCTTGACCCAATAGGGCCAAATGCTCTGATACAGGGCCTAGCACAGGCTGAGTGCCACTGTCTGCCAACCTGAGTCCCGTGTCCTCACATACCTTGTTCTGTCTTGCTATACACAATCTGAGCACATGTGACTGTTTCCCTGAGTACACCCAGGCTCCTTGGTGGTGAGCAGCATAGGCCTGGCACGTAGCAGGCATCAAATGTCTGAATTGGCCTAGATGGGACCGTTCTTCTTTCTTTCCTTCATCCAACAATCTTTTTTTTTTTTTAAAGATTTTATTTATTTATTCATGAGAGACACAGAGAGAGAGAGGCAGAGACACAGGCAGAAGGAGAAGTAGGCTCCAACTACTTGGAGTCCCAGGGAGCCCAACATGGGACTCTATTCTGGGTCTCCAGGATCATGCCCTGGGCTGAAGGTGGCGCTAAACCGCTGAGCCACCAGGGCTGCCCGATCCAACAATCTTTACTTATGTATTTGAGATCCTATTATGTGCCAGGCCCCATGCTGGACCCTGGGGACACAGAGGTCAACAAGACATGCAAAGTCCCTACTCTCATGGGGCTTCCATTCTAGTGGGGAAAGCAGAACAGGAGGGAATAGAAAGCAAACAATATTATTGTGGGTTGTGATAAGTGCTGGACCAAAAATAGTAAATGGATAGCTGTTTATGCCAGGGGCAGGGACATAATCTCTGAGGAGATGACACGTAGGCTGAGACCCAGAAACAGTAGAAACAGGGGGACGCCTGGGTGGCTTGGCATTTAAGCATCTGCTTTTGGCCCAGGGCGTGATCCCGGAGTCCCTGGATGGAGTCCCACGTCGGGCTCCCTGCATGGAGCCTGCTTCTCCCTTTGCCTATGTCTCTGCCTCTCTATCTCTGTGTCTCTTATGAGTAAATAAAATCTTTTTTTTAAAGATTTTATTTATTTATTTATTCATGAGAGACAGACAGAGAGAGAGAATCAGAGACACAGGCAGAGGGAGAAGCAGGCTCCATGCAAGGAGCCCGACGTGGGACTCGATCCCGGGACTCTGGGATCATGCCCTGGGCCAAAGGCAGGCGCTAAACCTCTGCACCACCCAGGGATCCCTAAATAAAATCTTAAAAAAAAAAAAAAAAGAGTAGAAACAGGGATGTGAAGGGCTACAAAGGGTGTTCGAGGCAGAGACGGAACAGCAAAAGTAAGGTATGGAGGTGGAAGTGCCTCTGAGACCCTGGGAGATCCAGAGTTTGCAGCCCAAAGAGAGCCTTAGGGGAGGTCCCAGGGGGTGAGGAATTTTCGGTCTGGGGGGGGGGGGACAGCCCAGGGCCAGCTCCCAGGCTGGGGAGTTGGAGGGGCAGGGACAGCCCTTCTTTTTTTTTTTTTTTTGGGACAGCCCTTCTTAATGCCACCTTTGCCACCTGTTGCCTAGCACCCACAGCAAACAGGGCTTTGGGCTGGCCTTGTCCTTGCTCCCTCAGCCACCCTCTGACTGGCAGCAGCTGTCAAGTGACCAGCAGCTGAGATCCTGCCAACATCCTCCCCTGGAATATTTTAGGGGTAAGTCAGGAAATGACCAGCCGCCTCCTTAAAACCCAGCTTTTTCTCGTGCATGCCTTACAAGGGTGTATGTGGCTACCCTGGGTGTTAATCTCCCAACCCCTTGCATTAGACAGAGAGATATAAATATACAGCTGCAGGCGGCACACTCAAACACACGGATTAATGAGCCCGGCTGCAGGCCCCAGGCCCAGGGGACGCTCACCCTTTGGCTTGTGAGCACCCACTTCCGTCTCAGAGGCACACAATTCTACACGCCACACAACACACACAGTGCACCACCACCCATCATCACCTGTAATAACCACTCTCTACCCCCCCCCCCCGCCCCCTCAGATTATACAAGCACACAATCACAGGCCCACACACAGACATGGACCTACAGGCCTCACAGACTCGAGCACCGGCACACAATCCCACATTCTCCCCCTCCACACACACCCAACCGCATGGTGTTCACAGCCTGCAGCAGCACGCTGCTCGCCACACACAACCCACGCACACTCAACACAGCCACACCGTTACCCCACCCCGCCCCCTATCAAGGCCTCAAGGATTCAACACACAGTGGGCCCCTCGCTCTTCACAGCGCAGAGCATTCTTGGCCGATTGAGTCAAAGACCTTCCCAGACCGAGGGGTTAAGTTAAGGACAAAAGGCTTCAGAGGGGAGAATGCCCCAGGCCGGGTCTGGGTTGGGGCCGCCAGCTTCTGGCTTCGAGAGAAAGACTCCAGTGTTGAAATTTGACCCTGACTCTAATGGGCTAAGGCCTTGGGGGGAGAGCAGGCCTGGGAGTGGACAAAGGAGGGCTGGGTCGGGGTGACAGGTGGAGCGAGCAGAGACACCCCAGGAAACCTCGCAGCGTGGGGGTGGACACTGGTGTTAAATCCGGACCCGACCTTAGAAGCTTCAGCCCCTCCCAACCGCCCTTCCGTAACCCCAGCAACAGGCTCCCGACTGTCCCCAAACGTACGGGGTGCGGCCGGCATCCCTCCCCCCAGCCCCTCAGGACAGCTGCGGGACCGGCGCTCGGGCCTCCCCGCCCCTCCGCGGCGCGGGTGGGGATCGCCCGCGAGCTGCGCGCGTCCGGGGGCTGGGACCCCTCACTCCCCCACCCCAAAGCCCTGCCCCATCCCCCCGCCGACCGGGGAGGGGACGTGCTCTTCTGGGGCTGCAGAGCCACCCTCCTCCCCCGCCCCCCGCACCTAGGACCCCCTGAAAGGAAGGGTGGACAGAGAGAAGGTTCGGGAAGATCTCGGGGCGGGCCGGTTTGGAAGACGCCGATCGGCCACCCCCCGCCCCCGCCCCCCGCTCCCTCCTCCCGCGGGCGGGAGCTGGGGCCAAGTGGGCGCGCCTGGCCCCGGGCGGGCGGGATCCGGTGTCGGCGGCAGCTGCCAGTGCGGCGGGCGCGGGCGCGGAGCGAGCGGCCGGCGGGGCGGGCTATTAATAACGCGGCCGCGCAGCCCAGGGTCGCGCAGCCATGGCCAGCCCGGAGCCCCGGCACGGCGGGGACGGCGCCGCCCAGGCCGCGAGGTAGGACCGTGCAGGGCCCGCGTCGCCGTCCTGTGGGGTGGGGACGCCGGTCGAGCCCCCGCCAGCACCTCTCTCCCGGCGGGGGGTGGTGGGCCGGCCGGGGTGTGCCACTGGCGCCGGGAGGAGCCACGGGAGATGGGGGAGGCCCGGGATCCCCGCTGTGACTCCCGTCCGCTGTGACTTTTTATAGGGCGCCCCCCACCCCCAATCCCGGGGCTGGGTGGGAATTAACCCTTTCAGACTGGTGTCATCAACCATCAAATGCCATTGGTCCACAGTGGCCAAGGACGCTCCTGGCTTCTTTTATGCCTCACCCCAAATGCAGCTGGAGGTGGAGGCCTCCAGTTGCTGAATTCACCGTGCGAAAGAGACTTGGTGCAAGGTTGGGCGGCTGCCAGCCGGGAGTTAGGAGTCTGTTCTAGCAGCTTGCTTTCTCCTGTTTGGGGCCTGGGATGAAGGGTGGGGTGGGGAGGGTCCCCCGACCCAGACCAGTAGGGGGCCTTGGTGGCAGGAGCCATGCTCTGGAGTGGAGACCCTCCCCCAGCCATCCACACTGTGGGCTTACCACCCGTTAGAGGAATAAGGTGGCTCGGGGATTTGGGGCCAGTAGGGAGGATTTCTGCCCCAGGTCAGACTATAGCCCTGAAGAGGTGGAGATGCAAATACACACACCCCATCCTCCTTCAGTGTCACACACAGCCCTAAGCTGAGCTTAGTTTTACACATACAGTCACCTGTACTGCCATATACACTTACAGGTACAAACACAGTCAGATACACACCAACTCATGCCTGCACCGGGTCACAGACACTCCTAGCCACTGCCCGGATGCAGAGTTGGGAGCTGCTGGAGTCCTCTAGGGCCAGGGATAGAGTGGCAGAGGCAGGCTGCTCAGAGTCCAATGAAGCCTGAGATCAGGGGCCCCAGCTGAGCTGGCCCCCCTGGCCCCTAGGCCTCCTATACTCTACATTTCCCCAGCTCCTTACAGAGAGGCAGTGGTATGAGGGCAGCGTCCAGGAGAGGCCTGGCATCGTAGGAAATGACAGAGGCAACATCAATGTGTGGAGTAACAGCGCTGCCTGGGAATCTGGAGGACAGGGTTCTACTTCCAGCTTGGCCACTCGACCTTGGGCAAGTTTCCTCTTTGGATCCCAGTTGGCTTCTGCCTGCCTTCCTCCTACACAGCCCCACCCTAGGATCCACAGAGAATGAGAACTATACTTGTCCTTAGGAAACTGACTCTCAGGGGACACTGACACACTGCTATAATACAAAGCACTAAGTGCAAAGATGAGCTGCACACAGAGTGCCTTGAGAATGCAATAATGGGTTTGTCTGCGAAATACTTCTCAGGAGAGATGAAGTTTGAACAGGGCTTGAAGGATGAGTAGAAATTTGGAATTAGGCAAATAAGTATATTTTGTTTTTGCTTTTTTAAGATTTTATTTATTTATTTGAGAGAAAGAGAGCACGCACACAGGTAGGTTGAGGGGCAGAGGAGAAGGAAAAACAGACTCTTCAATGAGCAGGGAGCCTGATGCGGGGTTCCATCCAAGGATCCTGGGATCATGACCTGAACCGAAGGCAGCTGCCTAATTGACTGAGCCACTCAGCACCCCATAGATAAATATATATAAAGATTTATTTATTTATTTATTTATTTACTTACTTATTTACTCATGAGAGACACACAGAGAGAGGCAGACATAGGCAGAGGGAGAAGCAGCCTCCCCTGTAGGAAGCCTGATGCGGGACTCAATCCCAGAACCCTGGGATCACCACCTGAGCCAAAAGCAGACCTCAACCACTGAGCCACCCAGGCGCCCCATAGATAAGTATATTTTGAATGCTAAGCTCTGTTAGACCTGCTATAGCTGTTGTACCTGTTTCAGGACTCATGCCTGTTCTGAGAACAGAGTTGGAGAAGGGAGCTCCGTCCAGCTTTGGAGCTGGATGCCATCTTCTCTGGGCTCCACCACTTACTTACAAGTCATGGAACTTTGAGTGAGTTCTTTACTCAGTGCTTTGGTTTCCTCACCTACAAAATGGGGGTAAAAGATGAGCATCATATAAATGACTATTTGTGTAAAAGACTTGGAATACTGCCTTGAACACAGTTATGTCATTCCAGGGAGCATGTGAGGGTTGTCTGCTGAGAAAGCAGGGGCTCTACTGAGGATCAGGATGGGTCTGGTTGGCGAAGTAGGTGCATCCTCCCTGACACTAGGAGCTCTAACCTTTCCAGGTAGTGTAGGATTGTTCTCTAATCAGATGTGGTACAATGAGCTGTATTTTCTCAGCTGGAACCTTTAGACATAGTGGGCTAGGAGTAGGAGGTGTAAAAGTGTTAACGCATGTTCTGGATTGTCAAGCACTGGGTGGGTGGCAGGGTGTGAGATGAGGCTGAAAAGGTATGTTGGGACCACATCTTTAAGGGCTTTGAATCTATGCTAAGCAGTTGGCTGTCTGTGAGTGAAGTGGTGCAACACAGCTACGTTATAGCAAGCCGTGGTGCTTAGAGAATAGACTGGCATGAGAAGGAAGAAAACCCGTTCGAAGGCTGCACACTTGTGCCGCAGGTGTGCGGCAATGATTTGGAGGAGGGCCCTGGCAAGAGGATGAAGAGGGGGCGGAAACTGGAAACTTTCTGAGATAGGTCAGTTCTCAGCAACTTGGCTATGTGGGGGAGAGAAAGAGCTGCTTAAAGGTCATTTGCCTCAGGTGCCTGGATGGCTCAGTGGGTTGAGTGTCTGCCTTTGGCTCAAGTCATGATCTCGGGGTCCCTGGATCTGTCCTGCATTGGGCTCCCTCCTCAGTGGGGAATCTGTTTCTCCCTCTCCCTCTTCTCTTCCCCCTGCTCCTGCTGTCTCCCTCTCCCTGTTAATTAAATAAATAATTTTTATTTTAAAAAATATTTATTTGAGAGAGAGAGACAGAGATAGTGACAGAGCACAAACAGGGAGGAGAAGGAGAAGCAGACTCCCTGCTGAGCTGGGAGCCTGATGTGGGGCTGGATCCCAGGACCCTGGAATCATGACCTGAGCCAAAGGCAGATGCTTAACTGACTGAGCCACCCAGGCGCCCCAATAAAAAAATCTTAAAAAAAATTTAAAAAGATTATTTGCCTCATCAACCTGATGTATGGGGATGTACTTCTCTGAGCTGCAGAATACAGGTGTAGCAAGCCGAGGGAGGATAATTTGGGGGCAGTTGAGTTTGAAATGCCAGGTGACACCAGGTGAAGAGATCTAAACAACATCCTCACTGGTAGAGTGATGGGAATGAACCGGGTGACTGTTGAGGCTATATTCAAGTTTTAGGTTTCAGGGGATTGCATGAGGCCAGTGATGTCCAGGGCCTGGTGAAGCCACACTTGTAGTTTCCAGAGGTCCATCGTGAGACACAGAATGGAAAGCCAGGGATTCCTGGGGTGCTAAAGAGGAGGTCAGAATACACAGTGACTTAGAATAAAAATAATCCGAGGGCACCTGGTGGCTCAGTCAGTTAAGCGTCTGACTCTTGATTTTGGCTCAACTCATGATCTCAGGGTTGTGGGATCCAACCCCATGTCAGGTTCCGTACTCAGCATGGAGTCAGCTTGAGATTCTCTCTCTCCCTCTGCCTCTGCTCCTCCAGCTGCTCATGCATGCTCCCTGTGCCTCTCTCTTTCAAAATAAATAAATAAAATTTAGAACAAAAATAATCTGTAGCGAGGACTTAGAGCTAAGATATAGAGCTTAAAACCTGAACACAAGTAAATTCAAGACAGATAAATTCTTCGATACATGGGGCTTTTCATTTATACTTTATATCCAAAGTAAGTTTCTTGAAAACTCCACCCAAATTTAGACTGTTTTATAACTGGTGCTTGTGGAGTACCTGAGTTCCCTTGAGCAAATTAATCTCTTTTAACCTCAGTTTCTTGATCTGTAAAATGGGGATAATAAATATAACTACCTCATAAAATTGTTATGAGGATTAAATGAGTTGATCAACATTAATCATTCAGAGTAGAGCCTGGCACATATAAGACCTTTATTTTTTATTTTTTTTTTAATTTTTATTTATTTATGATAGTCACACACAGAGAGAGAGAGAGAGGCAGAGACACAGGCAGAGGAAGAAGCAGGCTCCATGCACCGGGAGCCCGACGTGGGATTCGATCCCGGGTCTCCAGGATCGCGCCCTGGGCCAAAGGCAGGCACTAAACCGCTGAGCCACCCAGGGATCCCCATATAAGACCTTTATAAGTGTAATTTATTGTTATCATTTCCATGGTATTTTGTATTTTCAAAGAATTGCTCAGAGATCAAAGGTAGGTAAGATGCATTTGAAACAGGAAGGACCAAAGCCATCTAAAGGTCAAAGAAACAGGAGAATATTCCTGAACAGGAACTGGTTAAACCAGCAGGCCACTGGCCTCTAGGTTAAGGAGTTTATCAGAATCACAGATTCTGAATTTAAGAGCCTTTGACAGGGGACATCTGGGTGGCTCAGTGGTTGAGTGTCTGCCTTCGACTCAGGTCATGATCCCGGGGTCCTTGGAGACCCCATCGGGCTCCCTGCATGGAGCCTGCTTCTCCCTCTGCCTGTGTCTCTGCCTCTCTCTGGGTGTCTCTCATGAATAAATAAGTAAAATCTTAAAAAAAAGAGAGAGAGAGAGAGAGAGAGAGACTGAGACTTGGACAGGCCAGAGGATGGGCCAATTCTAACAAGATGAATGAAGTTTTATGTTTTGTTTAAGAGAAGGAGAGAGCGGGGGACAGGAAGGGGGAGAGGGAGAGAGAGAGAGAGAATCTCAAGCTAACTCCACACCCAGCACAGAGCCCGATGTGGGGCACAGTCCCACAACTCTGAGATCATAACCTGAGTGGAAATCAAGATTCAAATGCCTCACCAACTGAGCCACCCAGGCACCCCAACAAGATGAATAAAGTTTTATAGAACAAGAGATGTGGTTTAAAATCATTTGGTGCGACAAAGTCTTAAGGCTTTTAGTCATCTCAGCATTTGCAGACAATATGATAGAGCTGCCCTGAGTTGGCAATATTGACCTTCATCAATAAGAATATAGTGTCCAAAGATTCATTGCTCAGAACACACCTGGGTACCGCTTCCATTACCCATCCACAAGGAACAGTGGCAATCTGGAGCCTAGTCAGAAAGAGGTGACCCAAATGAAGAGACTGGACACTGGCATGCATGGAATAATTGAAAGATGTTCATTTTCTTCGGATGTCTAAAGAACTTATATGAGCAAGTAGTTACATTTGTTTGATTCTAGGAAGAGGAATCAAGTCTAGGTAAAAATTGCAGACAAGGGGCACCTGGGTGGCACAGTCAAGCCACTCTTGGTTGGAGGTCTTGGTTTCAGCTTTGGTCATGATCTCAGGGTCGTGAGATCAAGCTCCGAGTTGGGCTCTAAGCTCGGCTTGGCTGGAGGTCTGCTTGAGTTTCTCTCTCCTCCTCCCTCTGCTCCTCCCCCCCATCCTCCCTCTCTCTCTGAAATAAATCTTTAAAAAAATTGCAGAGCAGATTTTACATCAACACTAGAATTTTCTTACGACAGTGGAACAAATAGTGGTGGCTCAGGTGTGAGTTTCCTGGCCTCAAAGGTGTGTAAGCAGAGACTAGACAAAGATGTCATGTGGATGCTGTCAGGGGAACTGAGCAAAGGATGTACAGGGGTAGAGGGATGGAACGGAGGGAGCAGACAAGTGCCGTCTGAAATGTGAGATCCAGGTGTGACCCTGATGGCTCCTAATGGCTCGAGAACCATCCCGGGACCATGGCTGTCCTCTCACTTTGAGACCTTTCTCTTGCAGGGAACCAAGAGCAGAAGCCAATTCTCCTGTTGAAGAGGAGAGCTCTGAATCCCTGCATGAGGTGGGGACTTTGGATCTAGATGCTACTCTGTCTTTGAAGGGGACTTTGAACTTAGATGACATTCTCTACCTGGGGGACACAGGTGACCTTGATGAGATACTCTATGTGGAAGAGATGGAGAAGCCTGAGGAGACGCTGTACATTGAGGAGACCAGGCAGCCAGATGAAGCCCTGGGCACGGATGAACCTGTGAACCCAGAGGAGATCCTGTATGTGGAAGAGCCCACGAAGCCAGAAAAGGTCACAAGCCCAGAGCAGACCAGTGATGAGGGAGAGATGGTCACGAGCGAGGAGAAAGCTAGCCCTGAGGAAGGCCTCAGTGCCGGGCCTAGTCCCAGCCCAGAGAGCCTGAGCATAGAGGACCTAGAGTTGCTAGAGGAGCGTTTTCAGCAATGCGTCCAAGCTGTGGCCCATCTGGAAGAGGAGAGGGATCAGCTCATCCACGAGCTCGTATTGCTCCGGGAACCGGCCCTCCAGGAGGTACAGCAAGTCCATCAGGACATCCTAGCTGCCTACAAACTGCATGCCCAGGCGGAGCTGGAGAGGGATGCACTAAGGGAGGAGATCCGGCTGGTCAAGCAGAAGCTGTTCAAGGTGACGAAGGAGTGTGTGGCCTACCAGTACCAGCTGGAGTGCCGCCGGCAGGATGTGGCCCAGTTTGCCGAGCTGCGGGAGGTGCTGACGACGCGGGCAGCTCAGCTCTCAGAGGAACTGGCCCAGCTCCTGGATGCCTATGAGAAGCAGAAGGAGCAGCTACGGCAACAGCTAGAAGCACCTCCGAGTCAGAGGGATGGGCACTTTCTCCAGGAGAGCCGACGGCTCTCTGCCCAGTTTGAGAACCTCATGGCCGAGAGCCGCCAAGGCCTGGAGGAAGAGTATGAGCCTCAGCTACTGCGCCTCCTAGAGAGGAAAGAAGCTGCGGCCAAAGCGCTGCAGAAAACCCAGGCTGAAATCCAAGAGATGAAGGAGGCTCTGAGACCCCTGCAGGCAGAGGCCCGGCAGCTCCACCTGCAGAACAGGAACCTGGAGGACCAGATCACACTCGTGAGGCAAAAGCGAGATGAGGAGGTGCAGCAGTACAGGGTAGGCCCAAAGGGCGTGGACAGGAGTGCAGCCCTTTAGCCTGGGGAAGGAAAAGGTGACCCGGCCTTCTGCGGGGGCCTCTCCTGTGTAGCAGGAACAGCTTATTACTTGGGGCGTCCACTCACTCCACTCTTCATTGCACTCAGTCAGGCCTGTGCCAGGGGCTGAAAAACGTCTGCACTCCTAGTGTACGCAGCCCTCCAACACCATGGTCACTGCATCCTCTCGTTGATCCTCCAAATCAAGTATTATCACTTTCATAGATGAGGAGACAGGCTCAGTGAGCTGTGGAGTTTTGCACTCTGGTCTTACCAACCCTGAATATCTCAGTCCACTTTCCATGGTACAATTTTCCAATTCTACATGATTCCTGCTTGGGTACAGAGAGCCAGAGGGGCTGAGGCTAGGTGGGATGGTCCTTCTCTCCCTCCCTGCATATTCATCCTCAAATCCCACCTGTCTGATCTCTGCCTGAAGCTTCCCAGTTTTAAAACTGGGATGAGGGACACCTGGCTGGCTCTGTTCAGTAGAGTACACAACTCTTGATCTTGATCTAGAGATTGTGAGTTTGAGCCCCACACTGGGTGTAGAGACTTAAAAAAAAAAAAAAAACAAAACTGGGATGAAATCTATAAAGCTCTATTCATTTTCCTTTTTTTAAAAATTTTTATTTATTTATGATAGTCACACAGAGAGAGAGAGAGAGAGAGAGAGGCAGAGACATAGGCAGAGGGAGAAGCAGGCTCCACGCACTGGGAGCCCGACGTGGGATTCGATCCTGGGTCTCCAGGATCACGCCCCGGGCCAAAGGCAGGCGCTAAACCGCTGCGCCACCCAGGGATCCCTTCATTTTCCTTTTTTTAAGAAAAAAATATATTTAAAGATTTTATTCATGAGAGAGAGAGAGAGAGAGAGAGAGAGAGAGAGAGAGAGAGGCACAGACACAGGCAGAGGGAGAAGCAGGCTCCATGAAGGGAGCCTGACGTGGGACTCGATCTTGGGTCTCCAGTATCACACCTGGGGCCGAAGGCGGCACTAAGCCACTGAGCCACCCGGGCTGCCCCAGAAAAAAATATTTTATTTGTTTGAGAGAGAGAGAACACATGAGCAGGGGGGAGAGGGAGAAACAGGCTCCACACTGAGCAGGGAACCCTATGTAGGGCTCGATCCCAGGACCCCAGGGATCATGACCTGAGCCAGAGGTACTTAACCAACTGAGCCACCCAGGCACCCCTTTTTCCTTTTTTGTGCATTATTACCATTTCACTTATATTTGAGTTACTTCTGATTAAGTGTGAGCCAGTTCTAATCTCTTTATAAACAAAGTGGGATATAAATACTAAGTGAAAACAATATTTTGTCTCTCTCTCCCACAGACTGTGAGCTTTCAGAAGGGAGTATGGTTTACTTATTTCTGCCACTCCAGCTCGGAGGACATATCAGTTAAATGCTGATGTAAGCAATGCTGACCACTGTGAGAGCCTTTTAGAGGAGTATTTTCATCTTTTGAAACACATAGTCCTTTGGACAAACTTAAAAAGCTTATGCCCCTCCAGAGATTTTGATACATCCTTCAAGGAACAGACTTCTGTTGAAAATGGCTGCATTCACTTCACTCAAGATTATCAAGCTTTCTGGAGCTTGTATTATGAAAGCAGTGGGGTTTTTTGGGCTTAATAATGAATGTACGTGGGTACTATCCTCAATCCTCTCCCCCACTGTTTTTTTTATTGGTTCACAATCTAGTGAAAGAACTCCTCTCCGCCCCCAAATGAATACTATCCTCAATATCTTGTACTCAGACATTACATTGATAATTATAACCCAGGGGAGAAAATACCACATAATTTAAGAGAGGTGCAGGTAAGAATGCTATAGGATAGAAATTATTTTAGTTATCAGTTAAATTAGAGAACAGTTCATGGAAGAACAGGTGTTATTTGAGCTGGGTATTGAAGTTTAGGTAATATCTTGGCCAGTGCTGTCCAAAAGAAATATGCACGCCACACGCAGAATTTTAAACTTCTTTGTAGCCACATTAAAAGAGTAAAAAGAGGGACACCTGGGTGGCTCAGCGGTTTAGCATCTGCCTTTGGCCCAGGGCATGATCCCGGCATACCGGGATCGAGTCCCACATTGGGCTCCCTGCATGGAGCCTGCTTCTCCCTCTGCCTGTTTTTCTGCCTCTCTCTCTCTGTCTCTCATAAGTAAATAAATAAAATCTTTAAAAAAAAAAAAAAAAAAGAGTAAAAAGATGGCAGCCTGGGTCGCTTGGCGGTTTGGTGCTGCCTTCAGCCCAGGACGTGATCCTGGAGACCCGGGATTGAGTACTGTGTCGGGCTCCCTGCATGGAAGCCTGCTTCTCCCTCTGCCTGTGTCTTTGTCTCTCTCATGAATAAATAAAATCTTAAAAAAAAAAAAAGGTAAAAAGAGGGGTGCCTGGCTGGCCCAGTCGGTTGCATCTGCCTTCATACGGCTCAGGTCATGATCTCAGGCTCTTGGGATGGACCCCCTGCACCTGGCTCCCTGCTGAGCAGGGAGCCTGCTTCTCCCTCTTCCTCTACAGCTCCCCCTGTTTGTGCTCTAATAAATTAAAAAAAAATCTTAAAAAAGTAAAAAGAAATAGGTGAAGGTAATGTATGTAACACAGCATATGCAAAATATATAGTGACCTTGCTGCATGTGAGAGGTGAAAAACTCAAAGGTGATTTGAACTGTAAAGGTAGGTTGGGGCAGATTATATTGGACTCAAATCCAGGAGACTAGGGAATGTGGATTTCATTCAGTAGTCAGCTGTATCAGTAGAGGTATTTGATTCAAGGGAATAACATGATTGCCTCTCTTTTAGAAAAAGTACCTGGTGGCATTGTATAGAATGGGCTGGAGACCTAGAAGCTAGAGGACTAATCAGGAAGCTACAATAGGTAAGAGGAAGAAATGGTAGTGGGAATAGGAGGAAGGAGAGGGATGTGAAAACAAATGCAGGATAATTGTGGCCACTGAATGAAGGGGGCAGAGGTGAGAAGTCACAGAGGGTGCAGAGATCTCAGGGAAGGCTAACTGGGACAGTGGTGCCATCAACAGAGAATCCTCTGGGGGAGCTTTTTAATTTTTTCAAGATTTATTATTTATTTTTTAAGAGATGTTCTTTGTTTATTCATGATAGACACACACACACAGAGAGAGAGAGAGAGAGAGAGAGAGAGAGAGAGAGAGAGAGAGGCAGAGACATAGGCAGAGGGAGGAGCAGGCTTCCTGCAGGGAGCCCAACAGGGGCCTCCATCCTGGGACTCCAGGATCACACCCTGGGCGGAAGGCAGGTGCTTAAACCGCTGAGCCACCCAGGCTGCCTCTCTTTTTAAAGATTTAGCTAATTCATTTGAGAGAGTGCACGCAAGCAAGAGGAGAAGCAGTGGGAGAGGTTGACTCTCAGAAGCAGACTGTGGTGAGCACCAAGCCCTATACGGGGCTCAATCCCACAATCTTGAGATCATGACCTGAGCCACTATACTATCAAGAGTCAGACACCCAACCCAATCAACTGAGCCACCCAGGTGCCCCCTCTGGGGGAGTATTCTGACACAAAACTGGGTTGTAGAATTCCACCCCGCCCCTGTGTATTTTCATCACCGGATTTGTTTCAGATCTGATGATCGGTGCAGCTTTCCAAAGATCATTCTATTATAAACACTCGATGAATGTCTCCTATTGCTATATATATCATAAAGTGAGAATCAAGGTCTAAGTGAGCAAATTCTTTTTTTCTGAAATGGCTTCCCAATCTGCTTGCTAAAGGTCACTATGGCATCTACTTTTCAAGGGTACACTTCACTCTTGCAGTTGTATACTTTGTCTATCTGTTCATTCAACAGATACTTAGTGCCTACTTACCATGTGCCAGGCAGTGAGTTAGGTGCTGGCAGAAGAGATGAGAACTAGCAGGGGGAAGTAGTTCCTGCTTTCAAATACCTTATAGTCCAGGAAGGATACCAGATAAAATGAATATATTTCATAATATATAAGGCACTTGATTTTAAGATGCACTGTGACCTGAGATGTTAAAATGTGAAAGCCTTAGCATCAGTGAATTAATATTCTTTTTTTTTTTTTTTTTTTTTTTTTTTTTTTTTTTTACGATAGTCATACAGAGAGAGAGAGAGGCAGAGACACAGGCAGAGGGAGAAGCAGGCTCCATTCACCGGGAGCCCGACGTGGGATTCGATCCCGGGTCTCCAGGATCGCGCCCTGGGCCAAAGGCAGGCGCCAAACCGCTGCGCCACCCAGGGATCCCGTGAATTAATATTCTTAAAAAAATTTTTTTTATTTACTCATGAGAGAGAGAGGCAGAGACACAGGCAGAGGGAGAAACAAGCTCCACGCAGGGAGCCTGATGTGGGATTCGATCCTGGGACTCCAGGATCATGCCCTGAGCCAAAGGCAGATGCTCAACCCTGGCGTCCCAAGAATTAATATTCTTCAATGTGATAAGCACTGTAATACTTGTAGGAATAAGGCACAGTACCAGTGAAGTAGGTATAATTAGCCCTGCCTGGGGAAACACAGGGGAAATTTCATGATTAACAATAGCTAGCATGTATTTTTGGTTCTTTACATGTATTGATTCATTTAATCTCTACCTGTCATTAAGATAGGTACTGTGTGAAAAATAGAAAAGAGATGATACAGAGAAGTCATTTGTTCAAGGTTATATGGCTAGGAGGTGATAGGAGGATTCTGACCCTGTGCAGTCTACCTCAAGTTCACAATTTCCACAAGGTGTTTGAATTGAATCTTAAATATTAAATTTATTGGGTAGACAAGAGAAAGGCATTCCAGGCAGAGGGGACAACTTACCCCAAAGCAGGAAAACAAAAAGACATTAAGGGAAGGGAGTTCCGTGTGGCTGAATCATAAGGAGTGTGAGCAGTAGACTATGTGGCTGGAAAGGTAGATTGGGACCAGACTTTAAAGGGTTTTATGTATTAAGTCAGTGGTTTAAAAAAAAAAAAAAGTCAGTGGTTTTCAAAAACCAACCAACCAACCAACCAACCAACCACCGGATTTCTCCAGAGCCACATACCCTTTTCCCCAAACAGAATTTTATATGGAATACCAATACATAAAACAGGTCAAACTGAGTAGCTACTTTCTAATTGTGGCAAAGGCACTTCAATATGGTCTCCTCTTGGGATTTCATGGAAAACCGTAAAGAGCCACTATCAGCTTTGCCCCTAAAGAGCTGATAGATATGACAGCAACAAAGCAGTTTTAGGGTATGAGCTCTAAGCCAGTGGCAAATCCTGACTCTTTTTTTTTTTAAATTTTTATTTATTTATGATAGTCACAGAGAGAGAGGCAGAGACATAGGCAGAGGGAGAAGCAGGCTCCATGCACCGGGAGCCCGATGTGGGATTTGATCCCGGGTCTCCAGGATCGCGCCCTGGGCCAAAGGCAGGCACCAAACCGCTGCACCACCCAGGGATCCCTCTTTTTTTTTTTTTTTTTTTTTTTTTTTAATTTAAGTAATCTCTACACCCAACATGGGACTTGAATTCACAACCTCGAGATCAAAAGCTGCTTGAGCAGCCCTTCAGATTGAGCCAGCTAGGCGCCCCTGACTCTAACACTTCTAACTGGGAAGCTTTGGACAAATAACTTGTCCAGTGACTCCACTCCCTTGCATGTAAAATGAGATTAGTAATAATACACATCATAGGGCTGTTGGAAGGTGAGTTAGGTAACATTTGTAAAGCACTTGCAATGGTGCCTGGCACATAGGTACATACTCTTAAAAGTAGCAGTGGGCAGGAGTTGAATGAATTGAAAGAGTCCAGGAAGACAACTTAAACCTCATGAGGGAGAGTGTAAGATATGTGAAGTAAAAGGGGTAGGATCTGGTGACTAGTGCAGAAGGTGGTATAAGGAATTGACCAAGAATGTTGTCAAAGTTTTTAACTGAAATTGGTAGGTTGTTTATGCTAAACTATGGAATGTTTACTATCTACATATTTCACATCAAGGCATTATGCATAGGGTGCTGGGCAGGAACCTACAACCTGGGAGTGAGACATGAATAAAAAAGATAAATAGTAATGTAATATAGCAGATGCCATCTCAGTGACAGACATGGAAGGAGTAAAGGCACAGAGATCTGTGAATGTCAAACTAGAGCAGTGCTGTCCAATAGAAGCATCATGCAAACCACAGATGGCATTTAAAATTTTCTAGTAGCCACATTAAAAAACCAGGTGAAATATTTCACTTCATATTTACAAATATTATTTCAATATGGAGTCAATATAAAAATTTGAGGTATTTTATTTTTTGGTGCCAAGTCTTAGAAATCTGCTGTGTATTTATACTTAAAAGTAGATGTCAATCCAGACCAGCCATATTTCCAGTGTTTGACAGCCATGCGTTGCCATTAGTGGCATTTTTTTTTTTTTTTTTAAGATTTCATTTATTTAGGGATGCCTGGATGGCTCAGTGGTTGAGTGTCTGCCTTTGGCCCAGGAAGTGATCCCAGAGTCTCGGGATTGAGTCCCACATCGGGCTTTCTGCATGGAGCCTGCTTCTCTCTCTGCCTATGTCTCTGCTTCTGTGTCTCTCATGAATAAATAAAATCTTTTTTTTTTTTTTAAATTTTTATTTACTTATGATAGTCACACACAGAGAGAGAGAGAGAGGCAGAGACACAGGCAGAGGGAGAAGCAGGCTCCATGCACCGGGAGCCCGACGTGGGATTCGATCCCGGGTCTCCAGGATCGCGCCCTGGGCCAAAGGCAGGCGCCAAACCGCTGCGCCACCCAGGGATCCCAAATAAAATCTTTTAAAAACAGAAATAACAAGTGACAAATCCCAAATGAAGGAAATGTCAGACTTTAAAATATCACAAGAGACTTCTTTTTATGACAAGATGCAAATCTTTTTAAAACCTAGGTGAACTGGAATGTTTCCAATATAAATATAACTTAACAACAACAACAAAAATAACTTACCCATTTTGGCCTAAATGGAAAAAGAAAATCCAAACTGAAAAAGTACAATAGAAACATAAAAAGTATTTAAAGAGTGTTACTAAGGTTTAAAACAACCCAACAACAAAATCTTTTTTTTAAAGATTTTATTTATTCGTGAGAGGCACAGAAAGGCAGACAGGCAGAGGGAGAAACAGGCTCCCTGCAGTGAGCCTGATGCAGAACTCGATCCCAGGATTCCGGGATCAGGACCTGAGCCAAAGGCAGGTGCTCAACTACTGAGCCACCCAGGTGTCCCCTAGTAGTGGCTTCCATACCACACAGTGCAGTCTAGAGGAAAATGTTCACATGAAAGAGTAACGGAGGTTGTAGTGAGAGGTAGGGGTCAAACTAGAGGGGGTCTGAATGCCAGACTCAAGAGGTGGAAAGCCTTTGAAAGACTGAAAAGATAAAGCAATTTTTAGAAAGTTAATCTAGTGGTGCTACACAATATTAGGACTGGAGATTGTCTTTAATGCAGGTCACTCTAGCAATATTTACTTCATTCTTTGTTCCTGTCAATTTATCACTGATGGTACAAACACCCTTCCCCTTGCTGGATATCTAAGGAAGGCTTGGGAAATTAGGGCACAGACACATGCAGACGCTTCCCTTCAGAAGACAGGCTTAGATGGTAAGGCTGCATCTCTGTGTGGTGCCGAAGTATGGCTAAGGCACTAAAAAAAAGGCCTTTTGACAAGGTTGATGAAAGTTGAGATTCAGACAGAGTATCAAACACTGCAGACTGATGGGCCACAGGTATATCAAGGATGACTCAGAGAACAAATTATTTAGATCCTTCTAATAACAGCATGTACCCAAACTGGATTCCTGTCTTATTATTCTTCAAAATCTGAGGTGAAGTCATTACCCCTTTAAATAGGCCTTCCAACTTCAATCTTCCCTTCCTTCTCTTTCATGCTTCCTAAGGATCCAAGCCAACTAGCAACTATGCCAGAGACTGATTTGCAGACATCTTCCTTACCTCACTCCTCAGGCATTAATTCTAGGCAGAGACAGTTTACAGAATGTATCCTGTCTGGTTTTGGGAGAATGGGAAGCGGACAGTTATCTGAAAGCGCCTGAGGGCCTCCAGGGCATAGCTTCTTCATCTTCCAACTTAGCACTTTGGAATGCATTCAGTCTTTTAGTGTAATGAGTACAGGATTTAGAAAATTAACAATTATGACAGCCAACATCCTAATAAAGCACCTATTTGCATAGGATGTTACAGTTAAGTACTAGGTAGAGCTATCTTGGACTTCAAGGAGGTTTAAATACAAAACTCATTATTTACTGTTTTTCCTGTTAACAACTGGACTTCTAGTTGAACTCTCCTAGAATTACAGTTAATAATGGCTTATAAAGAACTTTTTTTTTTTTTTAAGCAGGCTCCACACCCACCATGGGGCTCGGACTCAGAACCCTGAGATCAAGAATTGCATGTGCCACCCACTGAGCCAGTCAGGAGCCCGAAGACTTAGCTTCTTTTTTATTTTATTTTTTTAATTTTATTTTTTTAAATTTTTATTTATTTATGATAGAGAGAGAGAGAGAGGCAGAGACATAGGCAGAGGGAGAAGCAGGTTCCATGCACCAGGGGCCCGACGTGGGATTCGATCCTGGGTCTCCAGGATCGCGCCCTGGGCCAAAGGCAGGCGCTAAACCACTGCGCCACCCAGGGATCCCTAGCTTCTTTTTTTAAAAAAATATTTATTTATTCATGAGAGACAGAAAGAGAGAGAGGCAGAGACACAGGCAGAGGGAGAAACAGGCTCCATGCAGGGAGCCCGACATGGGACTCGATCCCGGGTCCCCAGGATCAGGCCCTGGACTGAAGGTTGCGCTAAATCGCTGAGCCACCGGGCTGCCCATTTAGTTTCTTTTACCTTAAATTGTTAAAGTTGCAGGATGATACAAAAACTGATTATCCTAACAGAAACAAACTTGTACAGAGCCAGAGGTCCAAAAAACTCTCAGCACACCAACTAAAAGACCAAAATCCTCCCCCACACTTAAAACTGCAAAACAAATTCAAGTCCCTCTGAGCATCCACCCACCCTTTGTAGGATTCTATTACACAGTAGTCATCCGAGGGAACAGACAAGACTTCTTTCAGGGAAGTCACCATTTGCAAAAGCAGGATCGCTTTCTTCAAACACCTCTTTGAACCTCTTTCTCAATCTCCGTACCAGTGTGAAGATTAAACCATGTGTAAGAAAGAGCTTCATCAACTTTAACGGACAGTTTGTTTTTATTGTTCTGCTCATTAAAGATGTTCTTGGCCCTCTCACTGCAGGAACAGCTGGAGGAAATGGAAGAACGACAGAGGCAGTTAAGGAGCAGCGTGCAACTCCAGCAGCAGAAGAACAAAGAGATGGAGCAACTGAGGATCAGCCTTGCTGAAGAGCTCTCCACTTATAAGTCAGTTTTTGCTGCTCCTCAGATCTTAACGGACACTGGCTGAGGGGATGGTGGGGAGGGTAGATGTTGCTCAGGGGAAATTCCATTTAACAGGGAAAAGTGAAAAAATGACTTGGAAATGATTCTCAACTTGTGCTCATCTATGACAGATGGAAAATGGTTCTTTTTTAAAAGGGCTATGCTACCCAAGAGCCTGGGACAGGCTGACATTCTCACTTCTCAGGCAGGTGGAATGGAGACCCAATCTCAAGGTGATCCTTGAGGGTTCAAGAGTGGTGTTTGCATTGTTGCTGCTCCTAACTTAATACTAATGCCTTTAGGAATAACACACACCTCCACATTTTGCCAGGTTTAAGCATTTGGGGGTCACTTGGAATGTTTGTTTCTAGCAGGACCCAAATAAGCTCTAGCTATCACCAGGAATTCTGTAATGGGATGACACACCTGGCCTCTGTACATTCCTTTTCCTTGGCTTATCCTACCCCATCTGCTATTCATAAACAGTTTCCTTAGAATAGCAGAGAAGGCAGTTATGCTACCTAATTCAGACTATGACAAAGAGGCCAAAAGGCTAAATTAATCTGTAAGTCATAAAAAGGCTCAAGTGGGTGTTGTTTATAGCCTGAGGGACAGGCTATATTATTGGTTAATATATGAAACAATACATCTATCCATTAATTTCTTTATATACTAATGTTCTTATATTCTTATAAAGTCCTAGATTCTCTTGGATAAAGAAACTAAGGATAAAAAAAGGTCTGGATCAAGTTGCATTACTAGACAGATGCCCATAAATTTTATTCTTAGTTTCATTAACCTTGTGTCTTGGATACAAACTCACAAATAACAATTATAACATATTTTTCCTAACTTACTAGCATTGTTTTTAAACTGTGTTTTATCCAGGCATGACTGATTTGTTTTGTGGGGAGCTTAGAGAACCTTGTAATTGAGGAAAATGATGTTAAACCCCTTTGTGTGGATCAGAGGAAAAGTCCAATAGGGAAAGGGCAATAACTCATCTTAAGAAAGCAAACTACAGAATCCTAGTTATTATTAATACCCATGTAAAAAAGAAAAGGAAAAAAAAATACCCATGTAAGATTTAACCTGGGCAGAGAAAACCTCTAGTTAGTCCCTCCCATCACCACCACATAGGTTACCATTCATTGTTTTGCAGATAGGAGGCACCCTAATAGGCATTTGGTGAGGGGAAATGCATCCCTTATTATATGTAAACCACATTCCAACAATCTCTCCCCAACTGAGCCAGCACTAATCAAACCTCAGAAGTTCGCTGTGATAGGGACACCTGGGTGGCACAGTGGTTGAGCATCTGCCTTCAGCTCAGGGTGTCTACTTTTGGCTCAGGGTGAGGTCCCGGGTCCTGGGATCCCCACATTGGTTCCCTGTGGGGAGCCTGTTTCTCCCTCTGCCTATGTCTTTCATGAAAAAAATAAAATCTAAAAAAAAAAAAAAAAAAAAAAAAAAAAAAAAAAATCTAGTAACCTTTATTAAGAGAGAAGAAAAATACTTGTTAAAAGAAAAAGTTCATTGTGATAAACTTTATACTGTATTGTTTCAAGTTGCACAAAGTATGAACTTATTCTTTTTTCTTTTTTCAACCTTACAGGGGCTGTTTAGAAACATATGGCCGAATCTGTAACCCAGAAACAAGAACAAAAAACTTCTTAGCAAAGGATCACTAAGTACCCTTTGGACATACTTTTTTCCAGAGAAGGGAGTGCCAGGGACTTGGCAAGCAATTCACCCTGGGAAAGTTACAAATACTGGCTGACTTGTTTAAAAAGATTCAAAGGCTGGCTGGAGGCAGAACATCATCAGTCACAGATTTAGGTGGAGTCTATTTCATAGGCTGCTGGTACCAATCTCCATGTGCATAGAGATGGAAAAATGAAAATTCTGTTCTCTGGCAGCAATCCCCACATGCCCAGACTAAAGGATGGATATATGGACACACTTTAGTGTTGTAAAGAATGTATCTTGCCTTGTGTTGACCCAAAACAAAAATCTTTTTTTTGGAGCACAGGTAGGGTCAAAAAGGCAGCCAATTTTCATTATATGATTTACAATTTGATTTCTTTTGTGCCATGAGCATTGGACTTTAAAATGAATCCTTTTACAAAGTTTAAGTCTGTGTGGGCTCATATGGCTTATTCCTAATTGTGTTGAGATAATTTTCACTGCACTCTTTTAGGACTACAGACTTGGAAAAGAGAAACCAATCTGGATTTGAACCTAAAGGTTTAAGGATTTTCCCAAAGACTGTGCTTCATGAAAATGATTTTGGGTCAGAGTGACTGGCAAAAAACCAGGCATTTTATTTGGTTATGGTACTTGGTGATAAAGGCTTTTATCAGGAGCCTATTATATGTAACCTCTAAATACAGGCCCCAGTGAAAAACATACTGGGGAGATTCAACTTCTATGGGAAAAGGTTCAAACACCTTTTCCCAATTTAAAGTTTGCCTTAAATGCTCTCTGCCACATTGCCTTTGACAGTTTTGAAAGTCCAAGTAGTTCTCTAAGGAGAGAAATTTCAAAAAGATGTTATATTAGCAAAGACTAATCCATGTATCTCTGGTTCAGTGTTTTATGTCTGGCACTTTCCCTGGGAAGGAGTAAAGCTCTTTTCTATATAGTTCTGGATCTATCATATTTAATTCTGCTCTTGATAGTCAAAGACCATACACAATAACTGCCCTCTGAACAACTCTTCAGGAAGCCAGACAGGTGTTTGACGAATGTTATATACCCAATAAAACCCACTGGCATGGGGTTACGTAGAAAAGCAATTTATTCCATTATAAGCACTTACACAGTTAGTCATGGAGAGTAACAGGCCTGCTGGTGAAACAGGTCACCCAAAATAGAGATGGTACCAAACTAGTGGTCAAGGACTAACTCCTAAAAAAAAAAAAAAAAAAAAAAAAAAAGCAACTCTTATCCAGGATTAATTTAATTTTAAAAACAAATACAAGCTATCAATTCACTCTTCTCAACTCAACTGGACAGTCTACCTGTGGTATAACTGTCAGGTAAAAACATACATCTTTACAACTTGGTGGTCCCAAGTTTTTTAAAAAAACCATTTCACAGAAAGGAAAGAAATATGAAAACAGCTCAAGAAATACACTAACAAGCAAAAATATATGGGGAAAGAGGAACACATAGTTTTGACTTAACTGAAGAAACTGAGAGGAGACTGGTCTACATAGGAAAATGTGCATCCTGGAAAGTCAGGTGTGAAGTTTTTAGAATAGGAATTTATATGACTTGAATCTCCCCTATTTCCTGAATAAAAACGACATCTTGTGGTATTTATACTTCATGGCTCAGACACCTACCTCACTTGGCTCTATTCCTTCCTCACTTTAGCCTTTACTTAAAGGAGTCTGAAAAACTTGGGGATATGGCCTAAGAAGAAAAATAACCACACACAATATTCCCCTTTCTGTGGCTACTTTAGACCTTTGTTACTAGAAAATTCCTGAAGAAAATTTAAATATAAGTCTGTGGCTTTAGTGAATCAAGTCCCCCAGTTAATATTTAGAAAACACCCTCTGTTTGGGCTAATAACATTGTTGATGGAACCTATCATAGAGGGATAGCCAAACAAAGTCTGTGTCTCAAAACCAGTGTTAAATCAATCTCAGGGTTGAGAGGAAAAAAAAAAAAAAAGGGGGAGTCTAAAATCACAAGAAGTGCAGACATATCTAGGACCCTTGTCCTTCTGGATCCACGCTTCCTTCAGGGTCTTCATCATTATAAATGTTCTCTGCCTGCCCAAAAACAAGAAACAGAGAAAAGGGTATTTAGTAAACATGAAGAATCATTCTTGAAGTTAAAGTTTCAAAAACAGACTAGGCCAGGGAGACAGATTGTGAGCCATAATCTCTGTATCAACTATTCAACTCTGCAGTTGCTGTATGAAAGCAGCCATGGACCATCTGAAAATGAATGGGTATGGATGGCTGTGTTCCAGTAAAAACAGGCAGCTGGCCCACAGGCCAACTAGATTAGGACATTCCCACAAAACTGAAGTATGGTTACTATTTGTCTTGATACTTAACCTTCAGGTGTCCTTCTACTAGATATTATTCACAAGAGTAAAGAAGTAAAAACAAACACAAATGTCCATCAAATGACCAATGAATAAAAATGTTACATGGCAATAACAAAAAGCTAGTCATGTATTGCATTAATTTCATTTCTAATAAATGTCCAGAACAGACAAATCCACAAAGTAGACTGGGGGGAAAGCATTCATTAAGAGCCCTCCCAACCATATGTTTCAAAACTCAATTTATAAATATCTTAAAAAGAAAATTGCTCTAGCATAAACTCTATTTCTGTTATTTGATGAAAAACTTGCACCCAAAGGCATAATCTTAATATAGAGAAAATACTTTTACTTGGGCCGAGTTAACTGTTCTTACTTACCATCTACTGTGCACAAATCACGAGGCTATGTGCTATGTGCTACAAAGGATGGGAGAATCTTATCTTTAAAGAGCCTGTGATCTGACTGCAGGAACAGGAAGGAATAAAACCGTGTAATTTTTTTTCTTTTTTTTTCTGTGTAATTTTTTTTTTAAGAAAAGTTTTTTTTTTTAAATTTTTATTTATTTATGATAGTCACACAGAGAGAGAGAGGAAGAGGGAGAGGGAGAGAGAGAGAGACAGAGGCAGAGACACAGGAAGAGAGAGAAGCAGGCTCCATGCACCGGGAGCCCGACGTGGGATTCGATCCCGGGTCTCCAGGATCGCGCCCTGGGCCAAAGGCAGGCGCCAAACCGCTGCGCCACCCAGGGATCCCCTGTGTAATGTTTCTTGATGACAGTGTCCTTTTCACCCAACTGGGTATCTAAAATTTTAATTCAACTCTGATACTAACTACACCTGAAAGTAATGTCAGACTCCACAGGTTTAAGGGTCTAGTCCCACAAGACTGTTATCCTCACTTCAGAGGCCTGTGTCAAGCCCTGAGTGTCCAGACTATCCATGCATTTCTGTCCAACTTGGCTATGTAAACTCAGGGGTTTCAACAGGCCACCCCCCACCCTGCCAGTGTAGGTTTGATAATTTGCTGGAATGACTCTCGGAATCATGAAAAGGCTTTACTTACTATTACCAGTTTACTATATAGCTTCCAATTTGGAAACAGTAAAATGGCAGTGATGCACAGGGCAAGGTGATGAATACAGAGCTTCTCTCTCTCCATAAATTCATTGAATCAAGAGATTAAAGAGAGCCTTTTCAAGAGTTTTTACGGCTCAATACCTTCTGTGAAGGGGGCGGGGGGGGGGGGGGCAGGACTGAAGAGTTCTCCCAACTGTTTTTTTCAGGAGACCAATCCCATCCTGAGGCCTTCCAGGGGCCCTAAAGTTACCTCCTTAGCTTGAACTCAGGTATGGCCAAAAGGGGCTCCTTAAAAACAGACTCCTACCACTTAGACAACCTTAAGGGTTTTAGGAACTTGGACAAAGACTGAATAGTCACTTGTTTAACAATTCTATTGTTCTTTTACCACTATTCTAAAAACACGGAGCAAAAGAACAAACTGGCCTGAAGGTGATGTAGTTCAATCTCCTGCAACATTCCACAGCAACTAAAATAGGTTTAATTGACAGGCTATCCCAAGGCAGCACATTATCACCTTCCCATCAGAACTCTTAACTTTTGTGGCACCTGCGTAGCTCAGTTGGTTAAAAGACTGCCTTTGGCTCAGGATATGATCTCAGGGTCCTGGGATTGAGGCCCATCTGAGGACATTGGTCTCCCTGCTCAGTGGGGAGTCCACTTCTCTTTCTCCCTTTGCCCCCCACCCCACACATGTGTGCATAAATAAAATCTTAAAAAATGTTTAAAGAGCTCTTAACTTTTTATATTAATTATCTATGCATATATTACAAGGAAAAAGGTGAGGTAGATTTTCTGTTTATACGTGTAATACGTACTTATTATTACAAATCATAATAGTGAAAGGTATAAAGAAATCCAAAGGGCAGCCTGGGTGGCTCAGCGGTTTAGCGCTGCCTTCAGCCCAGAGCATGATCCTGGAGATCCAGGATCGAGTCCCATGTCGGGTTCCCTGCATGCAGCCTGCTTCTCCTTCTGCCTGTGTCTCTGCCTCTCTCTCTGTGTATCTCATGAATAAATAAATAAAATCTTAAAAAAAAAAAAAAAAGAAGAAGAAATCCAAAAACTCCCTAAATATACCAATCTTATGGCAAAGAGCCTCCTAAATAATTACATATAACTAAGTTCAAGGCTAGCTATAATAATATGAGGGATTATAAAATGCTATTTATTGTCCTACGATCTGCTTTTTTCCCTACTTCATGTCATGAATATCTTATGAAAACGAAGTATATTTCTTTTGGATATATAACATTTCAAAGTTACATATACTATGTAACTTGTTAATCTCATAAGCCACAAAAACTCATTTTTTTTCTTTCCATTTCTTTTTCTTTTTTTCAAGATTTTATTTATTTATTATTTATGAGTGACACAGAGAGAGAGGCAGAGACACAGGCAGAGGGAGAAGCAGGCTCCATCCAGGGAGCCCGATGCGGGACTTGATCCCAGGACTCCAGGACCATGCCCCCGGCAGAAGGCAGCACTAAACCGGTGAGCCACTCAGGGATCCCCTTTCTTTTCATTTCTTTAACTTTGATTAATAGTGCTATTCTTCAAGAGAGTTCTGATTATTTAAAGTATTTTTCCTTACACTGAACCAAAAATTTTCCCCTGGAGCTTATTCCTGCCTCTACATCTACTTTAAAACACCAAAAGCTTTTTTTTCCAAATCTTTTCATTGATCAGGCTACGATCATTCAAAAGTTATGCAATTAAAAAATTGTGGTAAAAATATATAAAAATTTGCCATCTTAATCATTTTTAAGTGTTCATTCAGTTCAGTGGCATTCACCTTGTCTGCAACTATCACCACCATTCATCTCCAGAAGGCCAATGTTTCTTATATTGCTATATATTAGACAATTTAATAAAGATATCTTCATTAAATTCCAAGCACTCGGGAAATTCAAAAACGGGTAATCAATTCCCAATTGGGGTAAAAGGGGCAGGAGTATTTTGGGAATCTAGTAACATTTCATGGAGAAATGGCAGTATGTGATTCTGTGCCATTGTGGTAGAAACTGTGCTAGGGGGATGCCTGGGTGGTTGAGCGTTTTGCCTTTGGCCCAGGGTATGATCTCGGAGTCCCAGGATCAAGCCCCACATCGGGCTTCCTGCCTGGAGCCTGCTTCTGTGCATCTCTGCCTCTCTCTCTCTGTGGGTCTCTCATGAATAAATAAATAAAATCTTAAAAAAAAAAAAAAGAAACTGCTAGGCATGTTCACAAACCACATCAAAGGAATGATCATTCCCAAAGATTCAACAGCTAGCAAAGCAAGGAAAGCAGGAGGCCAGCAAGGAGGCTATTGCAATAGTCTAGCAAGTAGTAATGAGAACATGACCAAAAAATCAGGGTGTGGAGTAGAAATAGGAAAGTGGGGTATTTAAGTGGTTTATCTGTAAGGTGAGTACAGATACAAAAAACAATGCAGACAATGTAAAATCTGTTAAGTAAACTAGACTTAGAGGTGAATAAATAATGAAGAACTCGGGCAAGCCCCGGTGGTGTAGCGGTTTGGCGCCGCCTACAGCCTGGGGTGTGATCCTGGGGACCTGGGATCGAGTCCCACATCGGGCTACCTGCATGGAGCCTGCTCCTCCCTCTGCCTCTCTCTCTGTCTCTATGAATAAATAAATAAATTCTTTAAAAAGAAATTAATGAAGAACTCTTGAATTTTCAAGTTGGATGCGCTGGGGGTGGGGGCGAGACACTACACTGGAGCCATATAGGAAACAGGAAAATCGGGAGAAAAGGGGAATGAGGAGGAGGAGAGAAGTGTGGTTTCCTAAAGTCTGAGATAAGCAGTGCGATAAGCAGCTAAAAGCAATGAGCAGGC